TTATTGTTCGACCTGTCACGAGGCTGGATGATTTCCATTTAAAAAGAATTGTGGCTACGACCCACCCCCACCCCCCACCGCGGATTCGTGGAATTTATGCGGACGCTCTGGTATTTTTCACCGAACGACGAGAAACCCTCCCACCTCGCGATGGGGATGTTACACCAGACCCTCTGGCCAGCGAAAAACAATTTTCGAACACGCGATCTCGTCGCTTTTCGGGGGCGTTCATTTTCGCCTAGCTATGTTTACGCAGCGATTCGTGTCGCTGCGAGTTTCGCGATGATGTGCACCGACGTACTATGCGCATAACAACGTCCATGGGTGGCTGTGGGCTACAACGATTCGCGTCGACAGCCACTGACGTCATTAATAATGCCAGGAGAAACCGCCGAAACGACAATCGATTTGCCAAATTTCCTACGCCACTCGTCGCGCCACAGGGAATGGTTAACTTTGTGGATTTATCACGGAGGACGATGCCACCTTGTGCCATCGGTGGCCTAACCTTACGCGTTCTCTACATACTCTTCGTCCAATGCGATCCAGAAGCTTTTCACTTCTTATTCGATAGTGTACATCAATGTAGCACAAGTTGTCCACAACAGTTCTTGGTATGTCTTGCTTCTCATCTACTTATTGATTAATTTAATGGCTCGTGGACATTGTTTGATTACAAAGTCTACGCTTTGGGTTAGGGTATCTGTGACATTCTGAACTTCATCGAAATGTGAGTAGATCTTGAGCGCGTTGACAAGTAGCAAGCACTTCATTATTTTTCCTATGAAGCGAGGAGTAATCGAGTTCGCTTTCCTCTTCGGCGACTCGACCATAATTTTAGCCAATTTCAGCGGCATTATTCAAGAGCCCGGCAAACACTGCCCTCGTAAATCCAACGATTCCGCTGGCGAAATTATTTCACGCGGAAAACGCCGGAATAGCCATGGAAACTGGACGGGTCTCCGGAGGTGGTTGAAATCGCCTCTACCTTGAATCACGTTTCCTTTTTCATTACTGTCATGTGGCTTATGCTCCTTTCTGTTTTCTTCGATTATAGACTCTTCTTTAGGCTTTCTCCTTTTAATTACCTTCCAATTCCCTTGTCTCTTCCCATTGATTTCCCCGGAATTTTCCTTTAATTTCCGTTTATTTTCCTCCAATTTCTCTATTAAATTCCAACCATTCTCCTTATACTTTCCCTGCTAATTCCTCATAATTTTCCAACTTTTTCCCTATAATTTCCCTACTAATTCCTCATATCCTCCTAACATCTCCTAACACATCCTAAACCCTTCCAGCACCTAACACCCCCGACACCTTCCAACACTAGCTCAAACATCCTATCATCTCCTAATACCTCCTGCAACCTCAGAATATCTCCCGACACCTCCTAACCTCTCCTAACCTCTCCTCACACCTTCTAACATCTTACAACACCTCCTGACATTTCCCTTCATTTTCTAGCATACTTCCCTTTCATTTCCCTCATATCCCTAGTACCACGGTCTTCATGTGATGCTGATACAAAAGTTAAGTTTCGAGATTCTATTAAAAGTCATGTCATCTCTTCGCATATCATAGTCTCCTCATACCAGGAGTAAAAATTCGACATTTCCCATCAAAATATTGAGCGGGGCGATTTGCAACATTGTTGAACTTGCAACATTGTTGGAGTTCGA